GAAAAATACGAAATCGGCATTGATGGGTTAATTATTATTCTTTAACGGTCCCGTAATATAATATTAATCAACAGTTTCCTCCACGTATGATCTGAAAATTTTTATGAACAGAAATGTTCATATTTGAGAACAGTAGAAACATTTTATCGTCTCAATATGGTAAAATCAATTGAAATGATATATAACAGAAGTATGATTCGCTGCCTCATTCGTGATATTAAAAATCTCCTTCCAATTTTCCAGCCAGCTTGGGGGTATTTGTTGAACGAAGGTCAGCCAAGTTTTCTATGAAAACAGGGCTTCAGGAATTTGAGACAATATCTGTTAGAGCACCGTCAATTTCAACGGCGAATAACTTCCTCAGTTCGAGAATATTGAGATTGCAAAAACCGTGACGGTAAACTTTTCCTCCATTGAACCTGCCTTTTTCACGCAATCCACGCCCAAAATGAAATTTTCTTAATTAAAACTTGAATAATCTCTGTTTGCTCACACCCACACCGGAACGAACCGCCACGTCGATGCCCAGACGTATTAAACTTTTCATCAAATCGGCATTTCTTCTCTGTAAAAGAAAAAGAGTGTACGTTTAAACCGCTTTTCTTCATATCACATAGAATTTATACATTTCCAAAAGAGAAAAATATCTTTTCTAATTACTCTTCCAATTTAATTCCCAGTCAGTTCGATGAGTTCCTTCATTAAAAATACGATTAACAAAGCCACTGTAAAAATGTTGCCTCGACAAAATTGCATTCGCGTAATAGCCACATACCTTGCTGAATATTTTATCAGAAAATTCCACCGATCAGAAATATTCAAATCTAAAAGAATAAATTCTTCGCGTAATTAGATTCCCCGTTCGAAAAATTAATTAAACAACGCATAACTGCGAAACATACCAAAGATTACACTTAAATAAATCATTGGACAAGCGAAGCATGTCTTTAAACCGTTCAATGCATCCTTTTGGTTTTTTGTATAACCATATTTTTTCGTAAATTCAAGAACCAATAGACATTTTAGAACTATTTAAAACATTCTTTAATATATGTTTTTTATAAACAACGATAAAAACGAACGATAAATAACGAACTATTTGTCCCAGTAACGCCGTTTTTCACCTTCGATATTAAGAAACAATCCGACACTACTTGTAGATATGCACAATCTACAAATAAACTCACCCCTTTAGAAAAACATAACCCTTAATTTTCCACTGTCAATTATGTACTTTTCCCTTTGATCTGTTAATTAATCTGTGTAACAATCATTGGCAAAAAAATTTCATTAAAATATATTAATAGTACTTGAAAGAAGCCATAACTAACTCCATGTCTTAACTGCCACATCCCTATATGCGAGTCCTTTAAGTCGTCCGCCTTTTATCTACTATACATAAATTCAACCATAAATCAATTCGATGAAACGCTTAATATTTGCCGACGCTATCTGCCACGATTTATTAATCGATTCATCTACATGCTCAATTCACGAATTGATTTCTAACTTTAATAAAAGTACCATGTCGACCTTAGCCAACAACCACGACGATGTTTATATTTAATATACCACGTGTTCTCGTTATTTCTACGAAATTTTTAATATCGCAGTACCAGTTCACGGAAATAAACCTTTGACTATTTCCTCATACTCCCTAGTTACCATAGCAAAACGTCAGACAGCAAAAGCCTTGAAATCCCTTCCGTCGGTTTATTTGCGACATCATCGTCTCGTCGGTGCCCGTTCCGTCGACGCCGGGATTCGTTTACGAGTTTCGCGGGAGGGGAGGCGTCGTTAATCCCGCGGAGATTTTCATAAAAAGGGCGAAGACTGCGGTCCACCCAAGAGAGAACGAGACCTCGAAGTGCGGCGAGAGGTTGCTCACGCAAAATTAAGTGGCAACCTGAATATAACCCAACCAGGAAAGATGAATCCCGGCCTGGTTGCGCGATTTTTCTTCTTTATTTCGGTTATCACGGCTCGTTTTTCCTTTTCCTCCGGTTGGACTCATTTGCAATAACCGCAACGCGCCAAAGGGTGTTGCCAGATTAATTTCGAGCTGACTTCAAAGCGTTTTTGAGACTGCATTGTGCGCCCCATCCCCTCCCTTGTTCCCCGTGCAACTCGACTCTCTTCTCCGCTTTTCACCTTTGTTACCCTTCCCACCTGACGCTCGTTCTGTTTCCGTTTTCCGCCTCATATCGTCGAATAACGTGACACCCTCCGCCAAAGCGAATTACCTGGGTGAAAAAAAAGGGGGGGGGGGATCCTCGACGACTTCACCTCGCCGCGCTGCCTGCCGATACCCTCTAATGGAGTTTTTCGTGCCGCTAATGAACGGACTTTGAAAGCCGACGCGGGAAATTTAAGACGAACGATGGTGTACCGTTCATTTCGACCTGGTTGCAAGCTTCTCCGGTGGTTTTTGGTTTGAAATTGCGAGAATTCGTTTGACATGACTTAGGTTCGATAGCTGGTTTCTAAAAATTACCTACTATCAGCATTTTGTAGCATTGAAATATCTTAACTAGTTGTTGAGAAGGAAAATGGTGAAGTTTAGGGTTGTTATCCCCATATCACCCTTACGAGAGGGGATAGAGATTTAAAATTACTCACAGTTGTAATTTAGGCATAGAGTATCAGTTGGAAAACATAAATACTAAAATTGGTGCGGAGGCTGTTTTCCCATGCTGACCCGGCTAGACCCTTTCATACATATTAATCAGAACATTAATAGCGTCTGTTGCTTTAATAATATTCACCCTCATTTTCCCTCCAAGGTACTCTGTAATTTTTTAGGGAAGAAAGGAGGATGTTTTGAATTGAAGTGGTACTACAGGTTTACTAAAAAAAATTAACCGATTCAGATTTTGGATAGTAGAAAATTTCACGAAAAAAATGCACAATTTCATGTACAGTAATATAATGATAAACTTCTTTTCCAGCGGGCCAAACTTTAAAAACTCTAATGTTTTAATGTAAACATTATAAGCTTACTTCACTTTTCATTTAATTTTTTTCATTATCGCTAATTAAAGTGAGTTGTACATACTGGCATTAGTTGTTCATCACTAAATTGCGAAAGTTTACGCAAATTTACAATTTCCAATAGCAATATCTAAAAATTTAAATGCAGCAGAAATTTTGATTCTGTACTAGAAGCTTTACTATGTTAATAATAACATAGAAATAGTACTAACTTTTATTAAAACCTTGATCTTATTACATTTCTAATGCTTACTCATCACGGTCTAGCAATCGCCATATTGAAGAGGTTAATGCCTTTTATGCTTTCTCGTTGACACGCAGCACCTCAGGCATTAATATTGATCCCATATTCACGTCCTAATGGGTTCCAAACGGGAAGTTAATTCGACGCATCGGATAGAATTAACCGTAGGAAATTGCAGTTATACGCGCGGGTATCTGCATTTCGCCGGTTTCCAGTTCACCACGGAGTCATTTGTAACCAGCATCCGCATGATGCTCGTTTAAAGTGATGTCCAATATGTTCCCCGCGGAGCTGCAGCAGATGAAACCGAAAAGCATATTAATCATTGAATTAATGGCTATCAGATTGGAGCATATTGCTGCTAATATCGCTCAAGTAAACGCGTTGCTAAAACGTGTGCGTGCATGTCACAGAGGTGTATTTGCATTAGTGGGCGTTCCATTGCAAAATGTGTAATCATATAGTCGTTAATTATATACTTTGATATGAATTTACTGTATGCAGGATCCCATCACTTGTCGACATGACGTTGAACGTCAATATTTCACTGCACTTTTAGCGTGAAATACGCGTAAAATATATCCTAATGATCATGAAGATATTACGGTGTCATCGAAAGATGAATGATGTAGAAACGTAGAATGGAACTGTGGACCACTATATTATTCTATATAGATAGTCCTTGATATTTGAAATTCTTAATAACATATTTTCCGTATACAATAATGCAATGTATATTAGTAAAAGTTATTCATTTTGCGAATGTATGTTATCATATAGTTCAGATATTTTAAAGGAATAATTCACCTATATCGTTTTTCTGCTAGTAGGTTAATAACATATTCAGTGATGTGAGAATTTATATTGATTTTCACATAATTTTGTCACATTTAACCCTAGTAAATATTATCGTTCATACTAAACTATGACATGCAACAACAGTAACGTTTCGAGAATAATTTCGTTTCCATCCAAATGCCAACAATGTAAACAGTTACGTACAATGCTGTGTATCCTGACCCTTTTTTACCTGCACACGAAAGGTAATCACTGTCCATCGTTTCAGTCGTCGTGCTACTTGGTTCGCGTAAAGACGTGTTCAAGTTCCGTGTTATGTGAAAAGTGAAACGAAATTTACGAGGTGTGACACTGAAGTTTCGATAATATTATAATTCATGTAACACGTTCATTGCCTATTTTGGCTGTGCTTTCTGTTCACGTAGCTTCTCTGATCTGGCACTTGAATCTATATTACATGACGGTCACCGGTGACCGATGCACCGATGATTGTGTTAAGTAAATTTGTTTTGAAAATTAATTACAATTATAACTAAAATTGATTAGAATTATAAGAATTAATAATAATTACGAGACGAAGAATCAGCTTAGATATTTAGTTTATTGTTAATTCATCGAAGCAGTTATTCGAGAAACTGAGAATCCAGGTTCGACTTCCTGCAAACACAATATGTACAGTGAACTCGCAATAATTAGCTGCATTTGGGGCTTTAGAGGCGGTCAGTTCTAGGAACGGGTAAATATCGAGTGCCAATAACCATTATTAGGTACAGAAAGCAACAGCGTGTGGTGTGTGCGCGTGTATATAAGTAATGCGTGAGGGGCCATTATTTGCGAGTATTTATCCAGCAGGCAGTTATTGCGAGTTTACTGTGCGTCCATAAATCAACGTCTATCACGTTCCCTTAGATTAAGTTCTCGTTGAATCTTGTCATAAAAGGAGCGGGTCATCTGAATGACGCATTAGTACTCACTGTTGCAGACGGTGGTCGAGGTGTGCCAGAAGAAGAGGCAGTGCAAGTTCAACACCAGTCCAAAGACCTTTCAAGGGGATCCGTGTCCTGGCCTTCCCAAATACATCGAGGTCGCCTACAAATGCCGTCCTTGTAAGTGATACATGCTTTCTTTTTTATCATTGAAAATTCATTTTTTCAGACGTCTAAAGATTTCTTTCTTTTTATTAGTTTATCTTTCATACATTTCCGCTCATAGCTATTGGTACATTTATTGAATATACGTTAAATGTTACGAGGCATTACAAAATTGCTGATAGTCTGAAATAAATAGTGTTTAGGGGATATAGCTCAATGGACAACGCTTATGCTAGTATAACGTGATAATTATAGACTGCGGATTTTTATGCAATATGCTATTTTAAAAAATATACCATTAAAAGAAGAGCAAATGTTGGAATTTCTATTTTCACTTCAATTCCGTAATATTACAAGAAGAAAACGCTCTTTGTTTCTAATTAGGTTTAAGACTTGAAATTTTGGCCAGCTTTTTACAGCCATGTACTCCACAGCGCGAAATTTCTTTCCCCGCTTAAGGGTTTAAGTATCTTATTCTGCTCAGAATAAGACAGGTAACTCGCTTCATCTCATGTAAATTTTGTCTTCCATGGTATTTCACAGAGTCGTAGAGAATATAAATGTATAAAATTCGCAGTTCTGTAATAAAAGTGGTCTAGAAAATATAATTTTTACAAAACATCTCATTTTCATTAAACAGACCACGTGTCTTAATACTCATAAGTAATAGTGTTCGTCTGAATTTGTTTTGCATGAAACGAAAAACTGTGCCGAATCTTAGAAATGATATTTCATAGGGTATTAAATATTCAATGGTTATGTTTTCATCGTACAAATTAATGTAATCAGTCGTAGTGAATTAGGCAATTGAAGAATTACAGCAGAGGATTAATGTAACGTTATTTGATGCAGTACCTATGGAATACACTGATATTAAGAACAAAGTGTATCCAAAAAAACTGTGAAAGAAGAGAGTGCAATAAGAATGTTCAAGGTGTACTTTAAGGTGCACGTGTGAGCGTAGCTGGAAGTCTCTTGCGGCGGTGAAATCGTTTTTCCTCTTGGCACTTATCGATGCTTTTTTGCGAGGACGTTGAACATTAGCCCAGTTCGAGAACCGCGCACAAACCGTAGATATTGATGTAGCTTCGAGGGGATTCTTTGCTCGCGTTACAGTAAGTGACGGGGGAACGTAGACGTGTTTCCGTCAATGAACATCATTTCTAAGATTGCTTACTTAAACGAAAAAACATATCGCAGTAGAAATATAAAATAAAGGATACAATAGAAGAATATGTGATATTTTAGAAGGATTAATTTTATAAATGGAAATAAGGAAAATGGCAGTATGTAGAAATATAATATAAGTTTAAGACTTATATCTCAAAAGGAGCAAACATAGAAATATATAACTTATATCGCAATAGAAACAGAAATATTGGATACCATGGAAAAATATATTATATGATAGTTTAGAATTTTAGGATTACTTCTATAAATAGAAATAATGAAACACTGCAATGATAATACATTTGTATTATAACATCTCACATATACTAGCAACGCGATTCTAATGAACAATAGCCACGATATTGAGGTCACAAATAACAGTATTGTGTAGAATAAAGAATTAAGGTACTTAAATATTGCTTATGAAATTACCGTTGAAACGTAATCAGTTTATATTTAATTTGAATGTGTTCGTTATTCTGTGCGGCGAAACGCGTGAAGTACTTTTTTAACGAGAATCTTATGTTCGTATTTTTCTTAAAACGCGGGACTTTACGTGGATAATAACGCAAAAGCTCGCGTAAATCCTATAATATTACGTCTAGAATAACGAAGTTCCGCTTTTTACGCCAGTTCGTCGAGTCTTTTTAACATTCGCATTACTAAGCTTAAGAGAGAGTCATTCATTTTTTTGTCCGTGGATCACGAAGAAGAGGTCGTCCTTTACGATGCGTAATAAAGGACGAAATAATCGTATCGTACGACCGGGAAAATAAAGATGGACTGCAAGGAAATAATTTTTTTGCGGACTGAGTGACTCCCGCATCTTCTTTTTTGTCTCTGGCAAAAGTTAATATACCTTACGTCTAGTGGTGGCACAATGGTTTTGTGAAAAAAAACGAATGACGGCAATATCTATTCAAAAGATGCAATATGACGGTCGTATCGAGGCTTTCATAACAGTTTTATTTCATTTACTCCGTTATTGCATTGTACTTTATTTACAAAAAGAATGCATTGCTTATTTTTTTGTATCAGCTTAGTTTAGTAATGAATTGTAAATTTCTTTACTTTATAATTTCATTGTCACCCTACTCTGTCAGAGTATCATTCATCAATGTCTACATGTATTTAAAACTTTGAAGGCTAAGTTTTGCAAAGTTTCTTCCACATAGTAAGTAAGCCAAACTAATTTAGAGAACTGTAAAGCAGGGTTATCCTCAAGAAGGCTGATAAATCCGATGAAGGTATATAATATAGAAAAGTAAACGAAGAATAGCTAGTCCACAAATATCATATTCAAACATGTTATAAAATCTTCAGTTTGCATATAGTATAATACTTTCCGTTTATTGCCAATATTATATGCCGTAGAACACCGGTTATCCAAATTTCAAATAAAAGAACCGGTTGTATGTCTCTGTTATTTGATTAGTGTCGAAACTTGTACTTAATACATATTTTATATTCCCCCATGTTTAAACGTTTCGTCCGGATAATTAAAAAGAAGATTATAATTACTTGTTTATCAAAATAAAAGAAATAATGTTAATCTTCAGTTAATGTTATACACCAGCGTAGTTAACATTCTACATTATATACTAGAACAACCGAACACATCAAAATGACGAACTTCAAATTTCTGGTTTTACAATTACTGAAATCATAGTAGTGCTTTTGTCGTTATTTATATTGACTTTTGCTGTGGTATACATTTTACATCATACTATATTCTGTTATATTGTATTATACATTAGACATATGAAAATTCATATTATACAGTTTTGTTTAGCATACATCCAACGCTAATAGTTCTAGTACTAAAGTAACATACTCGAAATCTTTAAACTCTAAAGCATTATAGAAGATTGGCACGAATAATTAGTACCACAAAATAAGTCGAAAATCTATATCTTCTTTGGCGTCCTTTAAAAAGAAATTAAATTTGAACATTAATTGAGCACGTACACAAACAAACTTTTAACAAGTAGAAACTGCATCTAATAAACAGACACATTATTCAAGATCTATTCAATAACTCGTGGTACCAAATTTTCGAAGTAATTCCTCTCAAACGAGTCTCATTTGCCAAAATTGTATTCTAGACTTTCAGTTTATTTTTTTCACGTTTAGACATCCTTCGTACGGTTCTACCATGAGTTTGTCTTCATACTGTATAAATGAACACAATGAATAATAAGATGACCGTTCTCCGAGTACAGAGGCGAGCGTCCATGGAGCGTAAAACACGAAACGGAAAGAATTACTACGCCCTCCGGCAAAAATTACTTCAGGCTTGTTACCGCAACAGGTTGTCGTGGCCGTATTGTAGGTGGACGGATCTGCACGGTGGCGTACCTACGGTTCATATACATATTTTACTGGCCGCGCAATAAACAGTTCTGTTTCAACGTGTACTCGTCCCGGTACGCGTTACGCCATTCGTCACATCTTTTGGTACGGACACCGAGGACACACATTTTTCTCAAGTGTTTGGAGAATAAATTTTTGCAATAATGAAAATAGGTCGACATTAGGATTTCTTATATTAGGTATACCAGTAAGTAGTCCACTATTCTTTGTGAAATTTTATATTTCTTTTGAAATAATAGAAAACGTGGTGCTATTTTAACAGTCTTCATTATACGTTTTAATCATTCTCCACCATTTGGACTAAATAAAAGTTCAGTGAGGTATTCTGAGTTTAAGATGTATTTAGAGTATATTCGAACCATAGTGGATTACTTGTCGGTACAACTAAAATTATAGAAATTTATAAGTTAGATTGTGTCGACATGACTTGTATATAAATTGTAAATACTTTACATAATAATAATTAAATCATCAAGTTTTTACTCACACTTAAAGCACATACTGGCACGTAATAGATCTTCAAGTACATTGTACAACTTTTAATGTAGATACATTATTGTACTCGAAGTACAGAAATGTTAAGAACGAAAAATATTATGAAGTGAGTTGATGAATGTGTACATTTCGTAACAATTAATAACCACTAAGATAGATTCATGAACTTGATATTTTTATCACGTTAACGAATAGGTAGCTTAAACGATAATTACTTGGTCATTTGGCACGCTGATTTAAATCCTCGTAAACGTAGCATCGTTCGGATTAACATAAATTATCACGAGCATAAATTAATGCTTTTGCGTACTGCGCCGTTCCAGTTCAATTTGAATATCGAGATGCATATAATGCAAATGATAAACAGGGTATACTAGACCCCGACAAAAGTCAATTCAACAATCAATAGTTTATTCACGTTAGAATCATGCGTTTGTGGTGAGAATTTGTTTTCGACAATGTGGTTAAAATCAGTGTGAAATATTTTATTTTGTACCCATCAATTTTTACTTATTTTAAACATTTTTGAACGTAAATAATAGAATATAATAGCCTGTAATAGAGAAAGTAGTATAACACATAATAGCCTATAATTGTCAAATTCAAAAAAGTAAAATTTAATATATACTTAACATTAAAGTATTTCTTATGCAGTTTTCTACTAATAAGTGAGTTCTTCAAGGTAATACAAATAATTTTGATGTAAATTTAAAATTCTCCTCTAAACTTGTTACGTTTTAAGCTACCGATTCGTGTTATCTGAAGACAAATGAACCTCTCCGGAAAATTAGTTCTATTGTTAGTACAATTCCAATGCTTAATGCTTCGAAGTAGATGATAGCCTCAGTCTAAATGGCTCCTGCCAGTGACGTCTCAATGCTAAGCCAATTAAATCATTCCTAAGGACGTTCAACTGCGTCATCTGTATTAATCAAACACTGCTAAGGAGACACACTTGTGGATATTATAATTATTTT